GCTCAGTAACTAAGTTGGGATGGCAATTCATCTGACCCACTGAAGGCATCAAGTTATTTCAGGTAATTGTCACTTTACAGCACCTTGAAAGGAAGAGGAAAATCCAGAGGAATTCACCTTACCCTAAGACAGAAAGCAAAAATAGGCCAGTTGACTCATGCCCAGAAACACACCCATTTGTCCCACTGACAATAAAGGGAGCCTTGGGTGCTGTGCTGATGGAAACAGCACAGACATGTCAAGGTGAGTCAAATCCCACCCCCACAAGGAACCCTGAGCCACCAGGGCCTGGTCCAGCTCCTGCCCCTGAGCTGGCTGTGAAAAGAGACTGATCTGTTCTCTTCTCACACTCCATGAAAAGCTGCTGAGGGTCTTTGTGTCTCCAAGAGAATATTTCCCTCACCTCCAGGAGTCACATGGAGGAGTGAAAAGTCTCCTACCTAGTTTTTGTAACTCATAACCCAGGCCATCACTGCCCTTCATCCAGAACATCCGTGTCACCACAGGGGTTGCTGAGGTGCTCTCCAGTGTCTCCCTGAAGTGCTGGCCCTGGAGCACTGATCTTGCCACCAGGATTTTGGGTGTTTGTGGCTGCCAGCTCACACCTTCACCTCTCCAAACTGCCCACGGACCTTCACTTGGGTCCAGGGGTTTGGTCTTCCCAGATTTCAGCGTCAATGTCTCATCAATCAGGGCAATTGCAACTAATTCTATTGCAGCTGCCATGAGGGTTAACAGCAGCCTTGTACCCCAGGTTACCTGGCACAGATGGTGAGTGTCCCCTGGCCCACGGCTGGGTGATGGCCCTCCTTCCTCCCCTGTGCCATCCCCACTTCCTGAGCCTAAGCCTGGCCATGAGGAGAAGGTCTCCAAGGGACGTAAGGAGCAGAGATGTCCAAGATGGCACCTGGTGGGATGGAGCCATGTGGGATCCCCTGCAGCCTGGAGGCTGGCAGGCTGTCTCCAGCCCTTGGAGGGATGTATTAACCCAAGGAGGGTGCCCACACTCACTCAGGGCATGTCCCAGCTCTGCCAGGAGGTACTTGATGGTACCAGCTGGATGCTGGGGTGTGGTATAAATAGCACAGACTTCCACTACTAAGTAATAAGCACAGTAGGGAAACAAACACTGCACATGTGCACAGAGAGATGCATTCACTCAATAAACATGAAGCTCCTCAGCCAAAAAGGTGGCACTTCAGCTGAGAGAAGGCAGAGGAGAGCAGAGGGATGTCACCCAGCAGGCACAGGCACCACGCACACACAGAGATCATTTAGCACGCAAAAGTAAAAAATAGCGGCTGCGTAGTTCGGAAATACAAAAATAGTTTGGCTGTTCCCTTCCCCTCTCCCTGCAGTCATCGCTCCTCTGCAGCCCCGGGCTTTGTTTGTGGCAGTTGCTATGGGGAGGCTGTGGCTGCCAGGCCCTGCTGGGGAACAATCCCAGGGAAATGGCCCTGTAACAGCTCCAGCCTCGGCTTTCCCCCTGTCCCTGCGAGCATCTGACTTGGTGCAGCTTGATGCAATAAAGCATCACAGGGCAACCCTTCTTCACAAAGCATTTTCTGCCCTTTTAAAACAGCTGTCGTGTCCAGGGAGAAAGTTTTTGGGCTGCTCCTTGCAATAAGTGCCATCTGCTCCACGAAATCACTGTCGGCATCACAGAACTCCTCATGGGGGAATGTGCCCGTGGCCAGGTCTGACCTTGGGAAATATCCTGGACCAAATTCTGCTGGGTACCCTGACCCTGCAGAGCCATCTCTGCCAGGGAAAGCAGGACAGGGAACAGCAACTGCCCCCTTCCTCACCCCTCAGGGCGAGCTGGGGGCTCAGCACAGCAGCCAGTGCATCCCATGAGAGCAGTGACCTGCCTGTCTCAGGGGACACGGCCTTGGGGGGTGAAGTGGTAGCACTTCCAGCACTTGCAGGAGCACGAATGTCCTGCCTGATAACCAATGTGTGCAGGCAAGGGCTTGCAGCACCCTCTGGCTCTATCCATAGGTGACTTGTCAAAAACATCCGCCTCCTTTCCACAACCCCACCTCTGCCAAGCTCCCTCCCGACCATTCCATGCCTGGCCCAGTGAGAGACGTGGCAGCCCATGCAGGTGAACCATCCACCTCTCTGCCTCTGCTGCCTGGTGCCAATGGGCAGCCCTTCATGGAGTGCCTGCAGCCCGTCACCTCCTGTATTTGGGAGTTTAAACATTCCTGTCTGCAATAAACCTGTCTTGCTTCGCCCCACGGCTGTCTGAGCGCCGTGTTTCCCTTTCCTGCAGTGTTCAAATACACTGTTTGGCACCTAAAGGCCTCACATTTTTCTAACACCTTCTATGTTTGCAGCACTGTGCAGACATTCCTTGCCATCTCCCAACGCCCCGGCGAGGGCGGCGAGCAAATATTATTCTCTTTCCTTGGGTGGGAAGACTGAAACAAAGTGAGAGGAGCTTGTCTGGGACCACAGGGCTCAGCCTCCCCAGAGCAGGTAGCTCCTGAGCCTCCTTTCCCTTTGTGAGAGTGCTCTGTTTGCTCTCAGCTCATGGACTTTCTCACACCTGGAGCCCATCCCTGTGGCTGGCAGGGCCGTTTGCTCTCCATGAGCTTGGCCGCCGGGGCAGAGTAAGGTATGAGCAGGGCATGAGTAAGAAATGTTTCCTGCTGGGGACTTGGGTTTAGGGCTGCTTTTTCACTCTGTGGAAACACCCAGCTCTTGAGAGCAGCCCTGACCTTCTCCACTGGCGGGGCTGGAAGTGCTGCAGCTCAGTTTTATGAAAAAGGCGAAGTGTGAAAAATGTGAGAGGACTTTGCAGAGCTCGTGGGTGGTTTTGCTGCCACGTAGGTGGGGACAGTGAGGTTGAGCAACAGGGACGGGAGTGGGGATTTACAACCTCCCCATCTCCAGTCTTGTGCTCCTCCAGCCCTGCTTCAAGTGGATCCAGCCTAAAAAGCCAGGTCTTTGCTTGCTTTACACAGAATAGATGGGGTTTTGCATGTTGAGCTGCCTGCCCACTTGAATTTTTCATTCACATTGCCCTGAGGATCAGGTACCAGGTGACTCAATGAAATGAGAAGAAAACTGCATTTGCTGTCCTGCCTGTTCTTACCCACGTTTATTTCTGAGCTCTGGGATCTCAAGCACCAAACCCTGAGTATCTCCAGCCACTTGGCAGAGCTGTGCTGATAAGAAAAGGAGCCATCAAAGGGAAGCACCGCTGTAAAAGGAGTGCCCCTGACTTTCCCTCATGGCTCGCAGGTGGGGAAAAACGACGACTTTATTGTTTTTTTGTCGGGAACAGTATTTATACAAGCTGGCAAAAGACCAGGGCTTCTATTCCTGGCAAACCCCATCACCTCTGGTCTGGCACAGGTGAGCAGAGCCCAGCTGGCACAAGGTGTGCCCTCCAGCAGCTTCCCCAGCAGCTCTGCCAAGGCTTTTGAGCCCTGCCAGGCTCTAAACTCCGAGCATTTTACAGATGGAAAGTCTGTCAGACCACACTTCCACGACTTTCTAGGGTTTTTTTTTTTCTCCTCACGTGAGTTTTGAATCAACAAACTACCTTACGCCGAGTGCATTTTCAATTCAAAAGCTTGGTTTCAGTGTGTGTTCAAGGGGCTTTTTTTTTTTTTTTCTCTTTTTAAGTGCTTAATGAGCGACAATCACCCTCCTGTAGCACCGACCTCTGGGGCAGACACAGGTTCATTGCCACAGCCCTGTTCATGAAACCAGAACAGGAGAAAGAGGGACCCAAACGCATTAGAAAGTTTTTCAGGAGCATTTCAGGAATTTTGGTGGCTCAGATGGAATTTGGTGACATTTGTAGCCAGCTGCAAATTTACCTGCGCTGGAATTCAGCCTTTCAGATTCCAGGGCCCATTATCTAGGCTGGGGCACTGTTTCAAGCTCTTAGTTTTACAGCCCGCGTGTAACTACGGAGAGCAATTTAAATAATTACATCCTCGCCACAAACAGCTTGAAAACTGAAGTGGCTGCGAGGAAAGAGAATGGGAAGGTGTGACAGCACTGCTGGAAAAGAGATTAACCGGGAAAGTGGGTCAGAATTCTCTGGGAGACAGGAGCTGCTCAGTGATCTTTACTGAGGGAGCCCCTCGCTTTGGTTGTGTTCTCAGTAGTCCCCCAGATACATCCCCCCTGGTACCACCAGCAGCCAGGCAGCCTCAGCACCGAGGTTCCCATCTCGTTCCTCTCTAGGAAGTGTGTTCTGGGCTCCAGAAGGGATGGTGAGTGCTCAGGGCTTGAAAAGAGGTGATGGGGGCTCAGTCAGGGCTCTGCCTGTCCTGGGGAGGCTCATGAGAGGAGGTTTCTCCCAAAGAGGTTGTGACTTCACAAGCATCAAGCTTGTTATGGAAAACTGGACAAACAAGCAAAAGATAAAGATCTGGATTAAAAAAAAAAAAAAAAGGAAACTCTAAGGTGGATGTTGAAGAAACCTGGGATAAACTGGGATTCGCTACGGGTTAAGGCATCAGCAGTGCCCACAGCGTGGGGAGAAGCATCGGAGAGCTCCACAGCCCCTTCCCCTCCTTCTCACCAACCCCTCTATCTGAGAGCAAGCCACTCTTGCTCCACAGTATTTGTTCCCCCAAAAAGCCTGGGAGCAGAAGGAGGAAGCCTGGCTGTATCCAGCTCCCACAAGCACCATCCACCTGGGAAGGCACAGAGCAGGGAGGGTACCACTAAATAATCCCCAGAGCGAAGTGGTTGGCATGGCTGCCCCAGCTCAGGAGGGCTTTCCTCCACTGGCCATTTCTCCTGGAGTGGTTGGGATGAGAGGGAGCCACTGGCCTGGCCAAGGTCACCCCCTTTGGCGCTCTGTGCCAGCACCACAGTCTGCCAGGGCACCAGCTCCATTCAGTGGAAATGGTGAGGGTTTGTACTACAAATCTCTGTTTAGGGCAGCATTAGTCATCTGCCGTGGGCGTGATTCAAGACCACAGTTAGCTGACCAAATTCCCTATATAGTCAAGAAAGAGACCGAGAAAGACGGGGGCGTGATCCCAAGTGCCTCCCTTACACTCCTGGAGTCAATACTGCCATTGTGTACGGACTGGTATTTTAATTTCTGGCTGTAGTGAATTTTCTGTGGAATCTGTGAAAGCAAAACAACCTTTTAATACTTCATCAAAGTGGTTTTTCCCATGTTTTTCAGCCACCGGCGGGAGGCACCGCACGTGTTTTCCTGGTTTGCACTCCCCCCCAATAAACAGCTCTATTTTGGCTACACCTGCCAGGTGTTCCTGGAGTCTTCATTGAGAATCAATCCCCCCCAAAAAAACACCCTAGGAGCAGCATTTCTCTCCCCCTCACCTCCAAAGCAGGGCTGGCAAGGAGCACTGGGGACCAGATCACAAAGAAGGGTTTTTCTGAGGCCTTAGAAAGACAAGGAAAACACACAAAAATGAAAGTAATGGAGTGAGGAGACAGAAAAAGCACAAAAGCCCTCTAAGGGTTCAGGTAAACTACTGGAATGAGGGAAACCCTGGGCAGTTACAGTCACTGCACAGGTGAAGGGAGCAGGAGCCTGGGAGATAATAGGACTTAGGATTAGTGAAACACAAATGAAGGAATAACTGAACCAAAAATACATCTGCAGGGACACGGGTCATTCACCACCAGCTGTCAAGGAACTACATAGGAAAGAGTTGCTATCTTTAGTTACCTGTTGTGTCAGGAGGCAGAGAAAATGATGCAGTGATGCAGCAGTGCTGGAAAAGAGCAAACATCATCTAAAGTTCATTCACGAGGGAGGAAGGGGCAGCCCGGTGAGCCTGACGCTGGTATTGGTGAAACAACAGGCTATTCAATTTCTGAGCACTTCTACTTAGAAAGAGCACTGTGATGCCAGTTTTCTTATCAGATTTCCAAATTCCCTTGTTTCCTCCCCCCATCAATCATTTTGCCTTCACACTGCCCTTCAGATTCTGGTTCTTTTCCCCTCCACATCACCATTACCCTCATTTCCCCCGACCGAAGGTGTTTACATGTTTATGTCAGCTTACCCAGTGACACCATGACTTTCTATCTTTGGAATAACCAGCAACACTTCTATTTCCATAGACTCCTTTGTGACTCAAAGTGATGCAATCTCCCAGTTTGCATCCATCAATTGTTCTTGAACAGTTCCCTGGGACCATTTGCTGTTGGCAATTAAGTTCTGTTGGTCACATTAAGTTTTGTGCCATTGTTTCCATTTCCTGACTGTAGGAAAAGGCAAGTCATTGCAGTGCTAATATTAACACGACATGATTTTGCTGTTTGCTTGTGCAAAGCTGCAGCTTTGAAAGAATCACTCTTTGAGCCACAGCTCAGTTGGTTGAACACTCATGACCAGCACAAGCAAATGGAAAGCAAGAACAGTTCAGCAAGTTTCTTTAATTATATGCACAAATCTGAGTGGATTTTTGTTTCAATATTCTTTACCCAGTTCTCCATCACAACCGTTAACCTGTTTTCCTATATTTGTGTTTTCTTTCTTTGTCCAGCTTCACTTCATGGTGGTTTGCTTTTCTTCCCATATTCCTAAGATCTCCTCCACTCATCCTGCTACCTCATGAGCCTTTCTCCTTCCTGATTTATCCTTGGCAGCCCTTAAAGCAAATACTCCCTATTATAAACTCTGTTACTCTTTGAAATCTAATCTCCTGTTCAGCAAAGTTTGTTTAGGATGGGTCTTGCCTCTCCTTTGGGATTTGTTTTGCACACTTTTTAGCTACACATTTTAACCAGCTGTGAGAGACCTCAGCCGAAAATTCCCTCTAAAAATAGGACAGCAGCCACCTCAATGAAATCAGAGATTGCAAAGGAAGAAAATTGTTGTTAGAGAGTAACAAAGCAACCATGTTACACCATCCATCGTGCTTTTGCATGGTTTGGAAGCAGGGCAGAAGGTACCTTCAGTGTGCAACCAAAAGATCCTGACTAACCTGGTGAGGTGGGCAAACGCTCCTGGGTATTTCCTAGAGAAATTGTGGAGGGAGAATTTTAATAGTTAAACATTGCTGTAGGGGAAATGTCTCCTTTTCCTTAGAGGAAGAAGTGTGCCTCGCAGAAGGAATGCCCTCCAGACAAAGCCTTGGGACGAGCGATCAACATACCCTGCATTTCTCCCTGCCGTGCCCCACCTCGGCAGAGCTACAACAAGTGGCAGCTTGTGGAATACTCTTCCTCATTCAAATGAGACACTCTCCAAACAATCCTAGGGGGCAAACAAACCTCCGGTGTCCTGCTATCAAAGGAGAAAGATCTGCACCCGCACCAGTAAAAAACTGCATTGTGAAATACAGTTCACAACTGCATTGTGAAATACAGTGTTGACACAAACTAAAGCTAAAGAAACACATCCACCGAACGGAAGGAAATCAAAATTAAATTACCCAACAGTATCATCTCCCTGTTCATTCAGCCGTGTTCCCTCCCAATTTTCTACCAATTCATTTACAGTGAAACTCAATGTATATCTGCACTGCAACCACCTCCAGTTATAGCTCCTTCTTCTGGATTTTACAGCTTGGGAAAGTAGATATATTAAAATAATAGCCTGGTTTAAGCACAGTTTTCATACTGTCACAGTCACATTGAAATAGAGTCTGGGGATACAACATTATCTCTTTATATCTTTTATTATCTCTTACTATGGCAAATCCAACACGCAGAAATGTATAATAGACCTAATAATAGAAATCAGGAACTTGAGACAGCAGTGCAAATCCCCGAGCTCAGTGATGTGATAGGCACTTAGAAGATGCAAGATGCACTTGGTTCAGGCAGGTAGTCTGCTGATGACAGCAGGGAGCCAGGCCAGGGCTCACAGACCCATCCCAAAATTTCCAGTTCAACCACAGGTTCCTGCGTTACCTTACTCCAGTCACTTAATCCTGCAGATCTGTTTACAGCTGGCCAAAGGAGAATGCTTGCCTTCCCTATCACAGGGTGATTATGAAGGCAAAATCCCTTAATTGCTGTGAGGAATGAGAAGGTTTTCAGGGCTCTGGCAGCCTCTTGCTGGATTTTAAACACTCATTTCACTGCTGCATCTGCAGGAGCAGGACAGAGCAGCAGGCCTGTGGTCAGGCAGAGCCTGCAGTCTCAGGGCACGGCCAGACACACTGTTTTAGTTGGAGCTGCTGTGGGTTTAGAGGTGATTTTTCTCCCCAGCTGCCTGCCACCGTTTTCAAACCCGGGGAGGTTGTGCCAGTGCAGACACCGAGCTGGAGCAGAGCAGCCTGTGGAGCTTCAGAGCCAGGGCCTTGGAATTAACGGTTTGATATTCGTTAAACTGCTGCGCCATCTATGTTCAGACAGGGCCTGTGTCACAGACGTGCTCCATCGTCCCCAAAATGTCACAGTGAGGAACCTCTCGTGGAGTTCAAGTTCTCTGCCACGGGTGTCCCTGCAATGACCACACCAATGAGCAGGGCAGGGTGACACCTCTGGGGGGCACCTTCACAGAATCACAAAATCATTTAGGTTGGAAAAGCCCTCCCAGATCAAGTCCAACGCTGATGCCCACCTTGTCCCCCAGCCCAGAGCACTGAGTGCCACGGCCAGGCCTTCGTGGGACACCTCCAGGGCTGGGCACTCCAAACCTCCCTGGGCAGCCCCTGCCAAGGCCTGACCACCCTTTCCAGCAAGAAATTCCTCCTCCTGTCCAACCTGACCCTCCCCTGGCACAGCTGGAGGCCGTTCCTTCTCCTCCTGTCCCTTGTTCCCTGGCACCAGAGCCCGACCCCCCCTGGCTCCCCCCTCCTGTCAGGGGGTTGCAGAGCCAGAAGGTCCCCCCTGAGCCTCCTTTTCTCCAGGCTGAGCCCCCCCAGCTCCCTCAGCCCCTCCTGCTGCTCCAGCCCCTTCCCCAGCTCCGTTCCCTTCCCTGCACACGCTCCAGCCCTTCCAGGTCTCTCTTCCATGAGGGCCCAAAACTGGACACAGTCCTCAAAGTCCAGCCTTCCTTGCACTTGGGTTGTATTTGCTTTTGGGTTGGCCAACTTGTGAGTGGCATCAACGCTGTGATTTCCATTCAAATGCCTCAACCAACATCAGGGAAGGTCCTTGAGGCTCTATATCTGTCCATCTGCAAGGGAGAAACAGTAAGGCTTGATCCATGGAGGTGAAGCTCATGATAAACGACTGAGGGAGCTCCTGCTACAGCTGGCAGGAGAAGCAGCTTGTCATTCCTCAAAACCAAGAGACACCCAAAGGCATTTCTTCTCAAACCACTGCCCTTCTCAGCACTTGCTTTTTAAAGTGCTGTGGTTTCATGTTCCCTTTTCTAAAGTGCCAAGGCGTTGCAAGGTCAGGTGTCCCTGTTTTGGAAGTCCAGCTCTTTTCCTAACTGTCCTCCTCCCAGCTGGAGTAGGATCCCTGCAATAAAACTGTGTCAAAGATAAAGAAATCACTGCCTGGGCTGGTTTTGACTCAGAGTTGATTTTCTCCATAGTAGCTGGTGTGAGGCTCTGGTTTGGATTTGTGCTGGAATCAGTGTTGATAATCCAGGGGTGTCTTAGTGGTTGCTGAGCAGCAATTAAACACCATCAGGGGCTTTTCTGCTCCTCAGTCCACCCCACAGGCGAGTGGGCTGGTGATGCACAAGGAGCTGGGAGGGGACACAACCAGGACAGCTGACCCCAACTGACCACGGGGATATCCCACACCATATGGAGATAAGGGAAGAAGGAAGGGGGGAAGTTTGGAGTGATGGCATTTGTCTCCCCAAGTCACTGTTCCATGTGATGGATCCTAGCTTTCCTGGGCTTGGCTGAACACCTGCCTGCCATGGGAAGTGGGGAATTCTGCCTTGCTTGTGTATGTGGCTTTTGCTTTGCCTATTAAACTGTCTTCAGCTCAACCCACAGGTTTTCTCCCTTTTAGCTTCCCAGTTCTCTGGGGAGTGAGAGAGGGGCTGTGTGGGGCTCAGGAGCTGGCTGGTACATGCTGTCTTTCCCACCAGATGAAAGGGAGGGGGGAAGGGGTGTCAGCAGAAGCATTTCAGATATTTCCTTCTTAGGAAAGATTTCCACTGTGTTTACATCCCAAAAAAAACCCCAAAAAGGTGGTGGTTCAGGTCCTGCTACCTGTCAATGCCTCATTGGAAATGTGCACAGTCTCTTACAGGCACATCCCACCCCAATGCCAAGGGAACCATTTGCAAGCACAGTCTCTGCAGAGCAGTGTCAGTGCTCTGCATAGGCCCTGAAGTGCTTGTAAATACCATTCAATGGCACTAACTACCACTTCACCTTCAAATTATCAGGCTGAGTGTGAATCCGGCTCTGAATCCAGGGATTCTTTCACTTCTCCCTCTCCCCTTTCCCTCATACCCCCCTCGTGCAGTGACAGCACCTCTTGGGAGCACACACGGAGCTCTTGCTTGCCGTGGAAGCCACATCCCCTCCCTCCCATCCTTCAGGGATACCGCTGAGTTCTTGAGAGTAGTGACAAAAAGGAGAACAAAACGTAAACCAATTGTTACAGTGCAGCAAATTCACTGGTTGGCATCCAACACTGTCACCTCTTGGAAGAGCAGATAAGGGACAACTGGACCACTCACCCATCACTCCCCTGCTCCAAGAAAAGCTTTTCACTCCCCTGTCTTACTCCCCCAGCAAACCTTTATTGCCAGCCACTTTTTCAAACAGCTTGATGTCACTACTTCTCCACCCTTCACCATTTCCCAGAGGCCAGGACAGTCACATAGGCAAAGGAACAACTACTCCCAGACCTCGGTTGTCTCTCCATTTTGCATGCCACAACGTCTGGATTTTATCATTTGTCATTTGAAACATCTGGGTCAGCAAAGAGATGCCTAGACCGCGTGCAAGCAGAAGCAGCAGTGGCTCCTGTGCCACTGCCCCTCTCCTTGGTCCCTGTGGATGCTGCTCACCAGGTGCCTCCAGGCTGAGGCAGAAGCTGCACCGACACTTCCGAGAGATCACACCTTCAAACTTAGCCCTGAAACGGATCTTTTCCTTGTGTTTGCCTCTCGGCTTCACAGGCTGCTGCCAAAGCAGTGCCCCTGCAGTCATTGAGAGCTGGAGTTGTAAACAAGGCAGATTTTCCAAGGGAATTTCCAAAAGGCAGTGAGATTCCCAACCCTCA